GATGTCTTTTTAGAACGGAGGGAGTATTTTTTCATGACGTGAGAATCTACATGGGATTTTTTTTGAAAGAAAAAAACAACAAATAAACAAAGTTTTTTTTTTTTTTTTTTTTGTTAGGCTTTTAATTTATTTCATATCATGGCTTTGGTGTCAAATTAAATCGAAATTGTTTCTTATTTTTTACTAAAATCTAATCCTAAAATAAAATCTCTCCCATAAATACACATTGCTAATTGAGTTATTAGATTAAAAAAAAAAATTCATTTCAAAATTAGAAATTGTAAAGCCATTCGAAAGACACACGTGAATATATAATAATAATAATAATAATAATAATAATAATAATAATAATATGATCATTTGTTGGTTGTGTTTTTATCTTTTTATTGGTAGGAAAATAAATGACAATATATATCATTATTATATTATTGAAAAATGGGTAACCCTTTGCATGCATGCTTTAAATGCAACATTGCATTGATCAATATAATATATATATATATATATATCAAATAATTGTTTCAATATTTATGACTCTATTAAACCAAAATAAATGTTCAGCGTGACACATCAACGCGCTTAATCCACATTATATAAATGTTTTATTATTATTATTATTATTATTATTTTTATAAATCTCACACCTTAAAAAAAATAAAAATAAATCACCCCGAAAACAACAAATATGAAACCTAATTATGACAATAAAAACATAAATATTGGATTTGTTCACTTTTGTATTTTTAAATGAATATATTTTTTATATTAGATATAAAGAATCGTATTAATAATATATAAAAATAATATTTTGTTTTGAATTATTGATTTTTTTATGAGTAAATCGGATATATATATATTATATATTGTGTTAATATATATTATATTTTTTTTAGTATTTATAAGAATAAATACAAAAAAAATAATATTGAGTGATCAAACGAATTATATACTACTCCCTCAATCCCACAAACTAATATCCTACTTTTCTATTTGGGACGTCCAACAACTATTGTCATATTTCAATTTTTAAACACAAATTTTATATTTTTACCCTTCATTCATTGATTACGTTTAATATCTACTATACAATTAAAGACAAATTTGTCAATTCATAACAAAAAAACAATCATCTAAAAAATCGTGCAAATATAGTTTAAGACAATAGAAATTGGATCGAGGGAGTATTATTATTTTAAAAGAAAAATAAGTGTCAGTACGTTATGTTTTTTCAATTGTATATACAGTATTATTTAGTGGGCCAAATCATTCATATACCTGCACATAATATGGCCCATTTATGTGGCCCATTTATTTGGGCCCAAGATTTCAATATTAATGGACTTAAGCAATGGGCTTATTCTGTAAGCAAAATATATCGTACTCGAAATTTTTAGAAAAGAATAAAATGAAATAAAATAAAATTCATAAGTAATTTCGTTATCTATTTTTATTTATTTATTTTACCCGGGCGATTATCCAACATTACTTCAAAGATATTACTACTTGTGTTGTGTTGCAGTTTTATGATGAGTTGTATTATGAAATTTGTGATGGAAATATATAGCTCTGTTTAAATAGACATTTTTTGTTTTTTTTTTTATTATTTAATATTTTTTTTTAAAAAAAATGATATTTTTTATATACTATATTATTATATTAAATACTTAATTTTTTATTATTTTTAAAAAAAATTCAAAACTTTAAAACTTTTCTTCAAATCTTTACTAATTATTTTGCTTGTCTCGGTTCATCTCAAAATAAATAAAATCTTTGTTTCTACATATGCTTTTGGAATTTTTTTTATATTACTCATAAATACTATTTTTTTTTATAAAAATATATTATATAAAATATATTTTCTATTTAAGTGGAACTTAATTAATTTTCATGAAAAAGATGGTTTAGATATTTAGGCAGGACATTCTTTCTTACAATGATTCAAGTCCATATATATGTTTGTGTCCACTAAGATTCCCAAAACTCTCAATTACCATTTTTTTCTTTTTTTCTTTTTTTTTTATATATTTTTTTATGACATGGGAACCGTAGCCGTTACCTGAAACGCGCACGGGCTAAACCCCCGCTCGAACCTAATACCCTGCAAACTAGGCCCGACAGACAAGTCACACTAGGCCAACCATGTGTAGCAGGTATAAAATCCATCATAAATTACATAAGTAATTAAAGGTATAAATTTATCAATGTTATCAAGTTTTGTGAGAATTATCCCCTTAATTTTATTTAATTTTATTTTTTAAAAAAAAAAATAAAAAATCTTTCACCCTTTAAATCTATTTGATTTAATAAGTTTTCGAGTTCAAATTGCCATAAAATAATTAAAATTATTCTGTCAATATTAAATAAATAATAATTAATAATCCCTCACTCCATGTCTAATGTATTGTTTTTTACTGATGTTCACCAAAATATGCACACATCTCTTCTTCTAGGAAAAGTAATTATTCTTAATACAAAAATATTTATAATGTTTATATTAATTAAAATTATATCCTTACATATACAAATAATTTATGCATAAAATCTAAAAAGGTATCAAATATATTTGTACAAGCTAATAAAATGTTATTAATTCATTGTCTTAAAAAAAAAAAAAAAAAATAGGCCCATTTGTGTTTACTTTTTACTTTATATAATTAAAAATACTAATTTATTTTGTCCTAAGAAAGATGTCATTTTTTTTTTCATCCCAAAATAATTTTTTAATTTAGTAATTATATTATCTATTTAACATAAAAAAATAAATGTTATTATTTTTATATTACACCGTAAATATTTTTATTTTTTTACTACAAACTACTATAATATTAATATTAAAAAATTTATGTACAAAAAATAAACTATACTTTTGTTGGAACAGAGGTAGTAATTACTTTTAAAAAATTCAAAAATTTTTACTAAAAAAATAAATGCCTATTCATTTTTTTTTACAAAAAAAAGTGTTTTTTTTTAAATGATAAAAAAAGTATTACTCTCTTCGTTCTAGTGCAAGGTTACTGTTTATTTTTTGCACGTAGATTTTTTAATATTAGTATTGTAATGAATTATAGTAAAACTGACGAAAATGCCCATATTATTATTGTGTAATATAAAAGTAAGACATTTGTACGTAATATAATTATTAAATTAGAAATAGTAACTTTGTTTTGGGACGAACGAAAATAAAAAATGAAAATTTTTCAATTGGTGGAAGGGAATATTATTTTTTAATTTATTTAATAAATAAATAAGTGTGCAATATCTTGAGTTGGATACCGATTGTGATGACTATATGATAGAAGAAGAGACAGTGGTGGAAGATTAGGATTAGGATTTGGAAGATATTATCATTACATAAAGAAACTTGTCGGATTTCAATTTTTATTTTCTTGTGGTGGCCCTCTCAAATCAATAATCATATTTTTTCAATAAATAAATAAATCCCATTTATATATCTTGCTTATTCAATAAATGGCCAGAACCAGAACCAGAACCAGAACAGAACAGAGAAGAGGGAACCAGTCATCAATGGAGGACGAGGGTGTCATGGGGAAGGAGGAAATGAAGTTAAAGATCCCAACAGTTGATGACCACAACAATACTATTTCACAATCCAACAAGTACCCCTCCTGCCTATGCTCTCCCACCACACACGTCGGCTCTTTCCGCTGCCGCCTCCACCGGAGTAAGACCATCGCCGCCACGACCGCCGCCGCCGCCGCCTTCTGCCGGAATTCTTGCACCACCACCAAATGATAGGGCTGCTTCATTCTTACGGACTAAATATGTTAAGTCTATTTGTTTGTTTAATATTTATAGTTTTATGTATTTTGTTACAAGATAGCTGAATCGTTAAACTATTATAGAGAATAATATTTTATATATTTTTATTAATTTTTATTTATATATATATATATATATGTTATACTCTTATTGTCCATTTTAAGGATCAGTAAAGACGGCTAGATTTTCAACAGTTCACTGAATGACTATAGACCACGGATCATATCTAAATCAGCATGTGCAGACTTAATCGCAGACGTTGATTAATTAAGGACAATTAAATAAATTAAGATATATTTTAAGAATTAACGATAATGATTAAATATCAGCATGCTGAATTAATGTTTTTCAGCATACAATCTACTTTGATGACTATAAATTGTCATAGGTTGGCTTTGCTAGCAGGCAATCAATTATTTCTCATTAGTAGAAACATTGTTGTCTTCGAAAGGCAATAATTATATGTTTGGGATTTTCGTTTGTAGATATATGATTAATAGCTGTATTTTTTTAATAGTTTAAGCTTTTAGGTAAAATGGTTATTCAACATCCGACGTAGTTTTAGTTCGTTTATCTCACTTTTTCTAATTTATATATAACTATTAAAAAAAATTAAAATTATTTAATTTATATATTTTAAATTGATATTTTATTTAATTATAATAAATATATTATTTAAACGAACGTCTGCGAACAAAACTCGGTCTCGTTTGTTAACAAAATGAGTCTATCTATGTTATTTGACTCGACTCGTTAACATTCGCAAATGAGCTTTAACGGAGCCGTGAGTTTACAAATGGCTTGGTCCGTTTAACAAGTGTAGCTAATAGGCAATGACCCGACTATTGTATATCAATTCACATCCACTATCAGAAAAAACAGTATGTCTCTGAAAATTAGCCTCGAAATTTAAAATAGATCCGAAGCTATTTTTAAGAAGCCTCGAAATTTGTCTCGGAATGGCTTCAGATATTCCGTGTCTTTTAAATTAAATAATATTATATAAAAAATTGTCTCGAAATTTTCGAAACTATTGAAATAAAAATTATTTAATATTATTTTTAATAACGTCGGAATTGATTCCGCGGAAGCCGATTTCCAAATTTCTAGCAGTGATCCAATCCCTCACAGTACAAGCCATGAGTGTTGGGTATTTAAAATTTATGGTAATTTCTTTTAACAAAGTAAAAATAAAAATAAAAGGGAAAAGAGGCTGGACAAATAGAAAAACCAAATTGGTAATCAAAATTTCTTTACCTTGTTGTGTACGTGTGTTGTAAGTCTTCTTCGAGACCACTTTATGGCTTGTAGATCTAAAAGACTCGCCTTTATGAGGTTTTCTTGTAGATCGATCTCTTTCCCATCACTTAGGATTGAATTCTTAACACATGAAAAACAACATATTGCCAACAATTTAAGCTTACAATGTCATACTTCCCTAACATAACTTACCGTTCCCGTCGCCGTCGCCGCCGCTGTCGTCGTCGTTTATTCGATAGCTTAGACTATCCCGACAATGAATAAGAATTTACGATCGAAAAGATTAAACAACAACATTCGACGAATCCTATAACACAGAATTCCCTCAATTCTTCTCGCTTGAACTTCTGCTGATCGGCCACAGCTTGCTCAGCATTCTTTTCGATCTATTTGGCGTCGCGCAGAACGCCTTGAGCTTCGACGGCTTTTCGATTCCATCCAGGAAGTTGTCGCCCAGATCGTCAGCCTCGTCGAGCTTCGATTTGAGAGTCGACAGGTTCGATTTCGGCGATCTTATCCCCGAAACGCTCCACCGATCTTCTTGCGGCGCAGTCGCATTCGTTGGATTCTTTCGTGCCGCTAATAGCGCCTTGATGTTGCCCGGCAGCTCCGTTGTTTGTCCTCCTGCCGTCGCAGCCCGCGCCTGCTCGAAGAACAGGACTTGCACAACGACGCGCAACGGGAGCATCTCGTTCTGCGCGGCGTGCATGCACGCCTCGACCGATAATTTCCTGCAGTCGAGCATTCGACAAACGCGCTTTCTTTCGGCTTTTCCGAGCTCGGGATGGTCCTGCATCAACAATACACTGAAAAATTAGTTTCGTAAAACGTAATCGCTATATCGATTTCTCGGCAGTCAGCGTTACCTTGAGGTAAACGTCGACGGCTTTGTAGAGATCGTCATGGTCGAGCCTCGCGAACTCGGGAACACTTTCGGCGACAGCGACGAATTTCGACAGAGGCAAATTCTTGTCGGCGGCGATCTTTTGTAGATACCCGTCGACGATTTTTGCAACCTTTAGCTTCGAGCCGTGCGACGCCGACGACGATGATCTCCGACTCTCGTGAAACATCGAATCGATATTCTCCGCGGATCGCGACCTTCGACGCTCGAATTCCCCCCGGAGTTTCGTAGGGCTGGCCGGCGGGCTTTGCCCTTGCGTCATGAACAGCTCAAGTATCATAATAACTACGTCGACATCGTATAACATATCGTCGATTTCCGGCGAGGGTATTAACAAATCGCCTACGGTGGCGTCGTCCAATTGAAGCGCGACCCGTCGCGCCAATTCAATTTTCGACGACGATGACGCGTTAAGTATGTTTGCAGCCTTCAATAATTTCGATAGGAAACTGCACGACGCCGCGCCTTTTTCGACGGGGAGTAGGCTGACGATCGATTCGAGAAGCAGTCTATGCTTCGCAGTCATATCGAGTAGTCGAGAATCGTCGATTTTTTTCGTCGACGCATCCGGGTGCAGCCACCGCGACGCGTAAATTCGCAATGCGTCGCCGACGAGGGCGGCAGGGACTTTCCCGCCGGACTTGATGGCAGCCATTGTTCGCCAGTAAAGATCGATCGGTAATTCGGCCAAGTCGTCGGCCCACCAGTCCTTATCCTTGTGCTTATCCCGACATCCTCCGCGTCGCGAATAGCTGTAAGATAAGCTTATTTTCGACGGATTTAAGAGGACTTTTGAAGCGATGGATTCGATGCATCTACTGGTTATGGTAAGATCCTCACACCATGGCGCGAAGGCTTTGGTGCTCTGCAACGTAACGGTCGAATCTTTCCAACCTCTGAGGATGCAGGAATTGAAGAAAGCTTCGACCTTGTGGATAAGGTTGCCTTTGTCGGCGTCCTCCGTCATCTGGAGGTACTCGGCGGCGCATCTGATTGCGACCAAATTTCTGGCACTGAGAGTGACAGTAATTCCGTAGCAGAATTTAGCGCAGAGCTCGAAGGCGTCGGCGCCGCCGGGGAAGTCCGGGAGCTGGATAATTTGGATGTGGTGGGTGGGTTCTTGGTCCGGGATCTCCGAACATAATCTCTGCAAATGCAGGGATTTCGACAGCAATGGAAACTGCATTCATTCGTTCGTTCGTTCGTTCATTTTCCCCGACAACAACAGAGACAACAAAAACGTTAATCGAGGGTTACTAGGAACTGATTTTAATGTTTCGAGTTCGATTGAGAAATTACCTTATGAAGGAGGTATCTGATTCCCTTCACTTGAACGATGAGATCACTCGCCACTTCCGACGAAACGGATCTAAAATTGAAGAGCTCCAATTGAGGAATTGATTCTAGAAATTACAGATTTCAGACAGCCTTAGCTCAATCGAGGATTTGATATTACCTTACAGCCTCAGATGTGTAGAAAGTGTCAGGGCGAGAGCCAAGTTTCATGAACTTCATTTTTTATTTTTGCTTAACAATGGAGGAATCAATCGATCACCAGAAAAGCATCGTGTGAGTGCGAGACAAGAACCAACTTCGACAACGTTGTAGGCCTCACTTTCTTACAACACCACTACCGCAGAAAGCTCCACTTCCAGCTGCAGGCAATAGTTTTTGTCGGAAACCGGTCGCCACTAATTTCTTCTTCGTGTTCCTACCTCCACTTTTTTTTTATTAATTCTTCACATAAATTAAACGACACAGAAACACAAAATTCAATCCCATCGCCACCACAGATATAAACTTTCAAATTCAGTATTCAAGAAAATTGCAAAATTAAGACATTTCCTGTTAACCTTAATCAGAGCTTCGTTAAACCGCCATGGCAGCGTGCTTATCCTGCGCCTGCTTTTTGCCCCTAGACTTCATCATTGCCACACCGCAGGCTTATTCTAGCCAAGCTCAGAGTATCCCTGCTATCTTGCGCTTTCTCTGTATGCTATACGCAGCAGGCACTGCAAAGCAAAATTGCAAATTACAGATAGAAATGAAGTAATTAATAATAATAATAAAAGAAAAAAAAATATTGTAAAAATTAATAAATACATACACAAAAAAAAAGGCCTGAATTGTGTCTGCAGTTGCTGTTATGTACTGTCCTGAAGTTTCTTGCGATATATATAATTTGGCTCACTCATAAACTCTCCCTGTTTTTTTTTTTTTTTTTTTTTTTTTTTTTTCAAAATAACAAGAATTGCTTTTTTCTTGCCTTTAATGGCTGAGGGCCCTTCAAATTTTAATGCTTTTCTTTTTTTAAAATAAATAAATAAATATATATATTACACTTCTTTTAATGAATCAATTTTTATTTATTTTTTTTTAGTTTCTTGTTTGAATTTGATTAGCAATCACTCTTTTGCATAATGGAATTCAACTAATTGCAGATGAAGAATTGATATTTGATGCAGACTTAAGGTTAAATCAGACAACAATTACTGCAATAATGAGTGAATTAGGCATGCATATTATAAGTTGTTAATCATGATTTTAATTACCCATATTGAAAAAAATAATAATAATAAAAAATAAATAAATAAATAAAAATGAAAAGAATCATAATAAAAATTAGGTGGCATGTATATCATCATTTATCTTCTTGCTTTTTTTTTTTATTGTGAGATAAGCACTCTTTGAATCTACTATTTGATAAAGATATTCATTTCATTCATTGTTTCATATCCACCTTATAAAAAGTCGAATATATATATATAATATTTTATATTTATATATATATATATATTTGTGTGTTATTATATAACAGCACATATTGACTTGGCAATGGCTGACACACAATTTTTTCTGCATTGGATTCTTCTAGTAAAGGTAGATATGTGTAACGTGTCTGGAAGCTTAGAAGCTCGGCGCCTAAGCCACGTCTGCGCTGAGGCTTAGACCAGCCGTCCCTTGTGTGCAAGACGCTCGGGATATACCATACAGTATGAAAAAATCATACAAAACACGTACCTGCACCGAGATATGGTAATTAATCAATCGTATAAGACAGAGGCTCGTACACATTGGACGGACTATGGCCGAGAACCAGGTACAGGAATGTCAGCTCGTGACATATGTGTGTCCTTTCTACATTTTAGATTTGTTCATATATGGCTTCCATTGTTTTGAATTTGATTTTATGCAAAATTACTTATCACACACATATGATTTCAAAAATCTCTATCATATTTTTTTTTTTTCATGATTTAAATTTTATATGAAATTTCGTGTGGCTCTTTGTATTTTCAAAAATATTACATATATTTTTTTATTTTTTTGAAAAGGTGTACTTGTTCAGTAAAATTGTTTAAAGAAATATTTTTATATATTAAATATAGAAAATGTGTAAGTAATATAAAATTAATGAGTATATGTATTATATTAATTTTTTTTAAAAAAAAATTGAAAAATTGTGAAAGAACACACCAAAAACTTCATTATTATGTATTTGTTCAATGAAAAGTATATTCATGATTATGCAAAGATCAAGAGGAATTTGTTGATTGGTTTCTCAATCATTATATTTTTATTATTTTTAATAATAGATTAAATATTTTTTTATTCACAATAATGTATTTAAAATATTAGACAAACATATACTAATATTAATTTATAAAAGTATATTGAAATAAAATTACGTTTGAAACATGTAGGTTTAGAGGATGGAAAAAGCCTTGTACTACTTTTCATGTAAAATATCATCTCTGATATCTATATTTATTTAAATTTGTACTATTTTGAAAATAATTTGAAACATCAAAATATTTGTTAGTCTGTAAAATTTAAAGTATATATATATATATCTCTTATATATTCAAAAGAAACTATAAGGTTATGTTCTTTTGTAAATTTTACACAATTAAGATTTTTTTTTTTATTTTTAAATATCAAATCAAATAATTTTTATTTTTCTATATTATACTATAAATTTATTTTACATTCAAAACATCGCACGTCATCATCTATTTATATTATATTAAACAAATATTATATTTAAGTTTTTACTATTAAAAACTTCAAACCCCAAACCCACAATCTAAGAGACGTTGCGGCACATTTATAATTTTTTTTTGTAATAGTTACACGCTTGCGTAAAGCATTTACCTAAAAAGCTTATGTAATTAATGAGAAAAATCATGCGATTTCCATTAATAGAGAAACAATCAATTACAAAATATATATATATATATAATTTGATGTTTTATTGACAAAAAAGAATAAAAATTGAATGTACATTTTTTTCAAACGATAAATATCAATTTATAAAAAATAAAAATTCAAACATAGACATAGACATAGACACAGACACCCTGTCATATATAGTATATTGTAAGATTATGATTTCTCGATAGATGTTGTCGGGACGAATAGAGATGTAATGAGAAACCAACAAGAAATTCCTTTAATTGCATAAAAATTGGAGCCATGCATCGATCATGAAAATTTGGTAATTAATGTACGTATAGACGTACGTCGTTTGTATATATATTATCATTGCACATGTACGTGGGCGTGGGCGCGAATGAATTGGCTCGATCAATGTCTACCACCTCCGACATGGCTACAAACAGCTAAACTTGTCTTGGCTCAATCAATGTCGACTCCCGTGGACCATTTGGCTCGACCACGCATCCATCCGTGGACCAATTACTTCGCTTCATGTTGTTTTGTATTTAGGGTTTCTATTCTCTTAGTATGTTTTTTTCCCTACACGATATGATTCTTCAAAAATATTATTAAATATATATATAATTTAATATATAAATAATTATAAATTTTAAATAAATAAAAAAAACATACATAGACACATAAAATATCATTCTTTGAATACTTTTACGATTTATTCACATATATATTCTACAATAGAAATATTTAAAACTACAAACAGTAAATAAACATAATCAATTGTACTTCATATGTCCGTTTCTAAAAGTATATTTTATCTTTTGTGTCATTGTGTTTCACGTTAAAAATATCATTATGTTTGTATATATGTTTGTACAAGTACTATTATATTAGTATTATAAGACACTAATAGATATATTTTTGATATTTTCTCGTAATTTGTATTACTTTCTTATATAATAATTAATATTCAAATATCAAACACGAAAAAAGTAAATATAACTTTTAGAGCCGGATGAAGTAGTTTTCTTTAATTTTGTTATACTATTTTTGAAGTGGGAATCATTATCAAATAATGTAGTTTGTATAAATTAAATGGGTACTATATGTGTTGTAGTAATATTTTTGAAAGAAAAAACTAAAAAAATTTGTTATTTAAATATTTAAAAGAAAAAGAAGAAGCTTCATTAGTAATTTTATCGTGTGAAAATCTTTTTAATTTGTTACATATGCAAAATATTAAAAAAGTACTTTAATCGTCAATTAGCCAAATGAGAGGGACAAAAAATGTGTCAAATTTAAACAAATACTTATGTAAAAAATTTTAAAAATAAAAATAAAAATTTCGTCGTTGTCAAACAACTTGTACTAAATGTTTTTATTTTTTAAAATTTTTTTTGAAACATATGAACCATTTCACATTGTTTTTTGTTGGCAAAAAAGTGGTTTGTACAATAAAGAGGTAAAGAAAATAAATTAAAGGGATGGACGATATGTTTTTGTGTCCCCCAATCCATTCACATATGTTCCATTCTAATTAAGTCTAAATCGCGACATATTTTGACGAGGAATAGTTACTGTGTAGAATGCCGATTTATTCAATCAACACATATAAAACAATCATATAAAGATCAAACAGGCATGCATTACATGTTGTATGAAATAAAATTATTTATTTTTTTATTTATACGTGCAGGTACATTGTATATAAGTATGTTATGTGCTAAAATCAGCAATAACATATATTATGCGCGACTATATCATATGTTATTAGTTCATATGATATATTTATATTATGTTAATATAAATAATGTTTATGGTAATAACATATGACGTCTGGTCAATGCATGATGTACTGTAGTACTGTGTTGAATTTTAACCGCCGCTATTTTGATGCGTCAGTTTATTTGTATTATTTGAGCATGCATGTATTAGGTAAATACCCAAGCATGAATTTTAACGATTTGCTTTGTTGTGATTTGAAATTTTATTTAAATAATACTTTGAAGTTATATTTTGTGAGAAAAATTAGTGTATTTTTATCAAAAATATATCAAATAAATAGTAGTGATTTTAATTTAAAATAATAAAAGAATGAGCACTTTATAATCTTATGGCCATAAGTTCATCTCCCATATCAACTCAGTCACCTTTACAATATGATTTGTATTGTTATCCTTTATTAATAATAATAATAATAATAATAATAATAATAATGGACTTGGATTAAGTATTAAAAATTGAAAATTTCCAACCACACATAAATATATATATATATATATAGATAAAAAGAAAAACCAATTGGTTGTTTGGATAAGTCAATTGCAAGAAATACGATAAAATAAAGTCACAAGACAGTATCCTAAATTCAGTGGGGTTTATCATCGCGGGAAAAGATATGTGGCTGCAGCTGCAGCTTCTATTATATATATATATATAATAAAAATAAATAAATAAATAAATTACTATTATCTTATTATTTATAAAATAAATAAATAAATAAAATCAACAAAACACACCTTCAAGAGCACATATATTACATCTAAATTATAATTTTTTTATTAATATTATTTTGAAAACAAACAAAATACTCTTGCTTATATACACGTTCAAATTATTTGCAGTACAATTATTTACAAAATTTTATAGGCAGCAGTTAGATGTTGAATTTTAGCACGGATAACATATTGTATATTAATAGACATATTTAAAATGCAATTACAGCTTACGTACAATTTAAATTAATATAATATAAATATAATATATGTTCTAATAACACATGATATAATTTTATATAAAAATATGAATTATCTGTCAATCATATTAAATAAATATTTTTTTAATATTATCTAATTTTTTAAAAATTCCAAACATCACACATATCTAACAAAAGCCTAAAATATCCTAAATAAAATATATAAAAATATATAGAGAGAGAGAGAGAGAGAGGGGAAGACATATATGTCTGTGAGTGAGCGTACATATGATCATGTCCCAAGTAGACAAGAATTCCAACTCACGGTTTGGTATTGGTTCATTGCTATCTCTCTAATTGC